CAGAGGGACTGGCTCCTGGTGGTCCTTGGTTCTTTTTGAAGGCCACATTATTTTTTTCCTCATACAACCGTACCTCCGGGTGTTGTGCTGTTGCCTTTTCTCCTCCTCCTCCGCGTGAGGTCACGCTGCTGTCCCCTTCCAGTATCCCGCGAAAAAGCGTCCCCAGCTCGTAGTTGTCATGCAAATCTGCATGCGTAAAATGTTTCTCATGCGGAGCCCCATGCGAGTCATTTTCTAGTCGTTTTTTGGAATTTGTGACGCTTCGATCGGCATAGTGTGCTGAATCTGTGACGCTGCTGAGCTAACTAGTACACAGGACTACACTACGAGGCCAGACCTGTCATGCGCAACAACCAAAGCTCGCCGATTTGTCTAGCAGATTTCCCTTCTTGACTCTGGAGTGAGTACGTTTTCCTTCAGGATATCCAGAAAAAAATTGTTCGCGTTTGATAAGCTGTCCTGGTCGTCAAAGTCCTCGTCTAGCCTCGGCAGGGCAAACCGTTCCAACGGCGAAGCCCGCTTGTTCGGCTCGAATTTCTTGGATTTTTTCCCGAAAATAAACGAGGTTCTGCCCGAGGAGGAGGAGTGGGAAGTCGTCGAAGAGGAGGTGTTGGATGTCGATTGGTTGTGGGAGGAAGGGTTGGTGGACGAGGAGCCGACCATCTTGCGAAATTCTTGGGTGAGTGTAGTTTTGTGGAGAAGGAAAATCAACTTTGTTGCACTTGCAGCAACCTACGCATGCTAGAAAAGAGCAGACTCAGTTCTCGTCGCAGGTCGTGAGCCAAGTGCTCCTGCTGTGCGCTCGTTCACCTCGCTTTACGTTCTTGTGCCACTCAAATGAAAGTTTTCGTTTTACTTCCACAGCATCTCTCTCCTCCAAGAAAGATTGTGCCTCACCGGTCCAGACCAGACACTCACTTCGTGCCTTCGTGTTGAAGAAGGAAAACAGAATGAAAAAGCATACTGAGTAAATACCAATGTCGTGAATATGTTTCGACATTCCTCAATAGATAAGCATGCATTCGGCAGGAGGAATAGCAACGAGCGTTCTGGACAAGACCAATAGCTGCGAACGCATCGCCTCATCTACGAAAAGGTCTTGCCGTTGAACTACCGATACGGGTACGAACATTCCGTCTACGAATGTTGTGACGAGGCATAGGGTGGTCTGTTTTTTTTCCTTAGTCAGGGCTTCAATAGGATGAGCTTAGTGTTGTTGTCGTCATGGTCGTTTTTCGTTTTTTTTTTTTCCCTTCGTCTTCCGAATAAAAATGTCGTCTTCGCTTTATGTTTGAAGACCTTGAGCAGGAAGTCTGGTGCTGTTCTATCACCATGCTCGTCGTCCAAAAAAATCAGTAGATAGTTGTCCAACAGATTCAACATCAAGAGATCCAACACATGGCTTCTGTAGTTCTGAGCGATTTCAAGAAGCAAAATTTAACTTCTGACTTTTCACTTATCACACACCAGGAGCTACTTTAGGACAAGGGCGACAAGTTCTTTGCCTTGTGCTCCTCGTCGCTTTAAAAAGACTAAATGGACAGCTCCTTCGATAGAGCAGCAGACGACCGGAAGGAGATCAGCGTAGTATGTAGCAAAGCATCACAAGAACACTTTCTTCTCACCAACACAAGAAGCGACGTCGTTCTGTAGCAAACTATCTAAACCATGATAGTGCTGTACAACTATATCCCTTGATAATTCAAGTTGTACTTTTTTTCGTGGATCTCCGCTTCTTGCCCGCCGGCTCGCTTGTGGTTTCCTTCGAAGTATTCGATGTCCCCGCGGTGAGATTCTCCTTTTCCTTCGACGCATTTCTCGTCCGTTTCGACGACGTGTTTTTCTTGGCAGCACCCATTCCCGCGTTGATGCGCGTATTTTGCACCAAGAACCCGTCCTCCTCCTCCTCTTCCTCTTCCATGTTGTTCTCGTCAATCGTCGGCAGTGCCAGCGCCTGCCGCGCATTCCGCCGTTTCGCCGCAGGCGTGGCTTTTCTTGGTGGTTCGTTTTTACTGCAATTATTTCCAAGCGCATTTTTCTTCGCTGTTGGCGTGAGTGGTGCGATGTCCTCTAGCAATTCCTGGGATGCGTTACTATGCTCCAAATTTGGCGTGAACCCGGTGTTCTTCCCGGAGGTGAGGGACGCGATCTTGTTGAAATTCAATTGCGGGGACGTCGGTCGAAGAACTAACAACTCCCGACTGTTGTTGACCACGGAAAAATTGCTGTTTTGGGAGAATTCCGACGGCGATTCGGCGAAGGGGTTGGATTTTGTGCTGTTGTAGGGATAGTTGTTGTTATCGGAAGAGGACCCGGAGGAGTCGTTTTGACCACTACTTCCCGTCACCTTATTCGTCAACTTCTGCCACAAACTCGGCTTAGAACCGTTCTTGTATATTCCCGTTGTTCCGCTGGAAGAGCTGCTGGACGCTCCTCCTGCTGCGCTCTGCCCTCCCGCCGCGCTCATCGAGGCCATAGGGGAAATCCGGGAAAACAGACTACCCATCACCCCGCCTGCTGAACTGGAACTCGACCCGCTAGTTGTGCTCCCGTTCCCCGGTCCCGCTGGGTTGACGTGGTTCGGTAAATTGTCTAAGACCGAAGTGTATGCACTGCAAAAGTATCGTAGACTAGTTCTAGTATAAATCGCATGACAAATTTCCTCACCATGATGACACATGAAATTTGCAATGCGGGTTTGACTTGAGAAGGAAATTTGTAATGCATGATTGTGATTCTTAGTACTAGTACGACACTTTTGCAATGCATAAAGTATCTGGTTCGCCGGAGAAGGATTGGAGCAGCCCAAGCGCGTCTTCACTTATCGACTTGGAATGCTTGTTCAGAAACGGATTCACGCCCGCCAACGTCCCCGACCCGGACACTCGTTGTTCTATCCTGTGTAAAAACATCCCCACCCCAGAGTTGTCATGCAGATTTGCAATGACAGAACCATTTGTGATGCGCATCCCCATGATAGGCATTGCCGATCGTGTTTTGGAACTTGTAATGCTGTAAACAGGATAAGCCGATGGATTTGTAATGCGACTTCCCTTGCTAAACTGCACTACGCTAGAGCCTTCGACCTGTAATGCATGATTCCAAAACCTTCGAGGTTTGTGTTGCAAAATCCCCATCTTGACTCTGGGGTGCGGACGTTTTTCTTCAGGATATGCTCCTGCAGCATCTTCACCGTCTCCTCGTCTTCCTTCTTCGATTGCAGTGTCAGTTCAAACAGGTGCTCGCGGATTTTCATGCCACGTTCGGCTTCCGTTTCCAGTTTGGAAATGTCCTCCAAAAACGTTTCCGTGACGGTTTTCTGGTTCATCTTTTTCGGCATGTGGATCTTGCCCGCCAGCTTGCACACCCGGGAATTCTTCAGCACGTCCGCGAGTTCCTGGGCGGTTATTCGTTCCGCGGGGTAAAATTGGAGGCATTTTTTGATGATATCCTCGAGTAAAAACTGCTTCATGCTGCTGTCCCACGGGCCCTGTTGCGGCATCTTGCCATGGTGGGGCTGATCGCTGTTGTCCAGCTCCTATGAAAGTGCACAATTTCCCCTCCCCCTTTTTGTCATGCAAAACCCCCAATCCACTGTGTTCCTCTTGGCACTCTGTGCATGGCAAGTTCTGGTAGCCCAAATAGCACTACACTCTAGTGTAAATTTGTCATGCAGAACCGGCATTCTTGCTGATGCTTGTATTGCCGCTCATGCTTTACAAATGAGGGGGAGGGGGAGTTGTGCACTGTCATAGTTCCCCCGAGTCCGCGATGTTGCTGCTATCAGCAAACAGCTGGTCCGGGCTAGAATATGCATTGCAAATATCTCTGCGTCTGGAAACTTGTGATGCGAGTCAGTCAAGAATAAGTGCACTGTAAAGCACCGCTAAGCATGACAAGTTTTTTCGTGTTTCTGTGCTGCGTATTCCGCATGAGAAATGTCGTTTTTGCATGACAGACAAGAGGAGGTCTTCGTGGCCACGCAATACAGAGTTCTGAGTCATGCCAAACTAGCATGAGAAGTCTCGCAATCTTCCAGACCCAGACATATTTGCATTCGATATAGAAGCGGCGTCGTCGATGTTGGAAACGGAGGAGTTAGTGAGGGACTGTTTTTTGTCGTTTCTCGTGGTGGACTTGCTGCTCTGTTTATTCGTCTTCTCGTTCGCAGGCGCACAGAGGTTGTCCAGCTGCTTCTCCAACGCCACCCACTTCTTTTTCACCCAACTCGCCTCCTGCGTCGCCAACTGCTGGATGTTGTGCACGCCGTAGGTGATTCTTTTCCGGCCGAGTTTCGTCTTAAACGCCGTTCGGTTTATCGAGTACTGTCTCGCGAGGATCAAGTGATACGGGTTGGTTTCCGCGAACATCGAGCTCGACTCGTTGTTGCACACCAGCATCTCGTAGAACACGCACCCCAGCGCCCAGATGTCGACGGGGAAGGAGTAGGACTCCGTGGTTTCCATGATGAGTTCCGGTGCCAGGTAGGACTTGGTCGAGCACTCCCGTCCCCCCGTCATGTGCTTCTTCGTCGACCTGGCCATGCCCAAGTCCGCGATGATGGCGTTTTGGTTCTTCGCATCGTAAAAAATGTTTTCCCGCTTGATGTCGCGGTGGAGGACCTGATAATTTTTATTTTTTTTTTAAAAATACAAATCACAAAAATAACGCAGCGAAATATCACATAGACAACTTCAGATCGGAAAAGGAAATGATCCAGGCTCGTCGTCCTTGTTCTATCGCGGCATCGTATTCGTGGTTCGTAAGTGCCATCTGACCCCTTCGCCTTTCGGCTCCAGACTGCTTGCCCCTTCTCGTCGCGACATGCTACAGTTGTTCACATGGTCAGCAGGCGGTGAGTCACACCACCGAGTTGCCTTCAATCTCGCTGTGCAAGAGAGTCGACAACTGTAGTGATGCAACAGCACAGGCGCTGCATTGCTCTTCCTTTTTTCGGTGGTGATTCTGTACCTGATCCGAGTGGCCCACTGCCCCGCCCCTCACGCCTAAAAAACTAAGCCTAAAGGTCGGGAAATCTCGAATCACAATTGCGTGAGTTTTGAAGAAGCAACTTTTGGGATCCTGTTTTGCCATGACATGCATGACTGGGCGCAGCGCGATGTTGATGGTCCTACTGGGCTCTTTTTGGAAGAATTGCTACAGGAGGAAGGCAGAGAAGGGGGTAGTTGCTGACTTGTATTTTCACTTCGAGTCCGGCTCGAAAAAGTAAACGCATGATGAGAATATTCAGAAACTACCCCCAAGCAAGCCCTCTGAGATGCACGGCTGCGCTTTTTACGTAGCAGCAAGCCTTTCCCCTTCCCCCTGCAGTATGCTTCTTTGTTGCTTTTTAATTCTTGTCAAAAATGCTCTTTGGTATTGTCGGCGTGGGTTTGGAGACAGTGTGGCAGCGTGACTCCTGAGACCTTAGAGGGGTGAGGCAACATCAACCCTCCTACACAGTCGAGCATGAGTGAGAACTTCAACACCGCAGCAACTCAAGGAAGGGAGCAGAAGCCGGGCGAAGAAATTCACACCCGAACTTTAGGTCTCCTGTTTTTTTTTTTTGAAAAAATGTTTTCCCGCTTGATGTCGCGGTGGAGGACCTGATAAAAATTTGCATGATTTGTTTTAAAATGCGTGCGCCGTTTTTTCTGGTAAAGTGAAAGTAATATGAGGTCTCTGTAATGCGAAAATGAGGTTGAGAAATCACGACCTGTCATGCATAAGAGTCTGTCCAACAAAAGCCGAGACGTTACCCAGGTAACGTCGACGAAATTATGCATGCATGCCCACCCACCCCCCCGTTACTCGGCCCACGCCAAGAGGGAATTCATATAGTCGAGTAGCAGCGCGGGTAGGCGGTGTACGGCTCGGCCCCACCAATGCAAAACGCTGACAAACAATCGCTGCGCGCCCTGTCGTGTGGCAGGCGCTATTCTGTTCGGGCCAGGCCAATATTGATACGCGCTGCGAATTCCTTTTCGTATCGGGCGCACGAAGCGCGACACCAAAAAAATTTGGCGCGCTGCGCGCGCTTTCGTATTTCCCTGCCCTGCCGCTGCGTTGCGGGTGGCGCAAGTTTTTACTCAAGTGGCGCCGCGCGTCGGAGGCTGTGCAATTTTTCACTTCGCGCTGCGCGCGCCGTCACGTTTTCAATTCCCTTGCGGGCGATGCGGCTCTGCTGCAATTTCTCAGCACAAAAGGGGGGCTTCCTGACTTGCCCCTGCGCGAGCCCGCGCCGCGCGCCCTCATATTAGTTAGCTTCGCCGCGAGGCGCAGCAGGGCGAGCCCCCCTCGCCCCAGTTCCTTTCGAATATTTTCCACGCGCTGCGCGCGCCCTCGTAAAAAATGTTTTCCCGCTTGATGTCGCGGTGGAGGACCTGATAATTTATTTGGGACGTCCAAGGAATCAAGTTGGTCAAATTGTTGGAATCAAGTTGGTCACTGGAATCAAGTTAAATGGACTCAAGTTGGATCCTGGAATCAAGTTGACTGGAATCAAGTTGGGTCCTGGAATCCCGTTGCGTGGAATCAAGTTGATCCCGGGAATCCCGTTACGTGAAATCGCGTTGCGTGTCCCGTTTCCGCCAGAAGCAAAAGCACTGCGCGGGTCCCGTTACTTCCGCTGCCAAACGTTATTCACCATGCACGCGCGTGGCGAAAGCTCTCATAGATGCATGCGCGGTGGGTAAAGATCTCAGAGATCCCCCCGGGGCGGCAGGCATCTGCTCCCCCGAAGCGAAAGAAATTGCAGCCCTGCCGGCACCAACGAGCGGAATTGAATTCCTGGCTTCATCACGGAGGACAAAACCCCGGGTCTCCCCAGAAGGGAAAGTTCCACGCTTCGGGACCCCCGCCTACCTTTACCGAAGGCCGGCCCGCCTTCCGACGGGCCATACATGTTCCGGGCCCCCGGGGCCGGCGTGGATGTGACGAGGCCCGGGGATACAAAAGAAAAAACCTGGGCCGGGCCCCCGGCGCAAAAGCTGTAAGTATACGCACGCAGCCCAAACGGCAACTTTGCGCGCTTCGAAACCGAATCCCAAACGCCTCGGCGAGCCCGGGCACAGAAAAACCCCGAACAACCCACGTCGCGCAGGAGGTGTAAATAAGCTCGGGCCATTCAATCCCGAGAGCCAATCAAGCTGCGGACCTTCCGCCGGGGAGCGACCCGCCAGAGCTTCCGAAGGCGAGACATCCGGGGCTGCCGAAGCCAAAGAAGCTTCGGAGCCTCCGAAGGTGAAAGCTTCGGCGCTTCCGAAGCTAAACGCCCCGGATCCCCCCAAGGCGATGAAGCGGGCGAAGTTGGCAAATGCCAAACACCTGAGGCAAAGCCTCGGCCCCTTAGTGCTGCAGGCGGAATAAACCCCGGACATCGGGAAGACAAGACGGAACTCCCTGAGAGGAGAACCGTGCCAATCCCCAAAGAGACCTTCCGAAAGAGGCGAAATAGAATCCCCGGAGAGAACTGCCGAAGGACAAGGAAGGCGAAATGGAGGCCCCCGAGACACCTTCCACAGGAGGGCGAAATGGAGTCCCCTGAGACCGCAGGAACGCGAAACGGAATCCCCCGAGACTGACAGACACCATCCCGAGGAAGGCGAAGTGGAAACAGAATCCCGAAAGCAATGCCATTGCCTTCCCTCGCAAGATCCATCCGTCCCTCTCAATGGGTCTCCCGAGAGGAGGCGAAACGGGCATGGAACTCCGAGAGGAACGGATGGATCTTCCGAGGGAAGGCGAAATGAAGACGGAATCCCCAGAGACACACACCTTCCGAACGCAGGAGACACAAATGGAATCTCGGGAACTTCGGAAGGCGAAAGCCCCGACAACTTTCGAAAGAGGGCCGTAAAACAACCTGGGCGCGCAAAGCTTAGCTCTAACATTATTTGCCACTTCTCTATCGACCAGAGGAAGAAAAGCCATACATGTTTGATAATCGTGGCCGCGTTTGAAAAAAAAAAATATTTTCCCGCTTGATGTCGCGGTGGAGGACCTGATAATTCGCATGATTTGTTTTCAAATGCGGGCGTCGTTCTTGTGGTAAAGTGAAAGCACTATGAGGCTCTTTGTCATGCGAAAATGAGGTTGTGAAATCAACTGGCGTCATGCATAATTATAATAATAGTGAAACGACTTTGCCCTCCCCCTTTGCTATAATCTATAGGAGGCACTTAGAAAAATAATTCTAAACGAATGTGCTTAGAAGGTCTCGTCTAGAAGCTTCGCGTAACAGATTGAACGCGTTCCCGTTATCTGTACCCCGTACCGTCGTGCAAAATGTTACGCTGCACGCTCTGGCGAGCAGCAGAGCAAAGCCACGCATCAACTTCAGTGTGATTTTGCTAGAGAAAGCGTGAAAATGATGGCCAAGAGCTCCCTGGCCATCCCCTTGCCTTCGCTCGGGCAAAAGTTTTCCAAGGGGGGCATGCCCAGTCTGTCAGGCAAAAGCGGCGGCCGCGAGCTCCGGGGCCAAAAGCATCACTTACCGGCCGGGCAAAATTGATGGCCAAAAGCCCCTCCTGGGCCATCACTTTCCGGTCGGGCAGAGTGATCCCTGGCCGTCCCTTTCCGGCCGGCAAAAGTGATGGCCAAAAATTCCACGGCCAGCCACCAACTTTCGCTCGGGCAAAAGTGATGGCCAAGAAGAGCTCCCTGGCCATCGCTTTTGGCCATCACTTCCCGGTCGGGCAAAAGAAAGTGATGGCAGAGAGGCCCTTGGCCATCACTTCCCGGGCGGGCAAAAGCGACGGCACGGCCAGGACCTCCTTGGCCATGCATGTGTCGGTCGCTTTTCGCTCGGGCAAAAGTGTTTCCGGTTCGTCGGGCGAAAGTGATGGCCTGGAGCCACTTGGCCATCACTCTGCACGGGCAAAAGTGATGGCCGATAGCTCCCCGGCCGCCACTTTTCGCTCGGACGGACAGCCGGGCAGCCAGGCAAAGTGATGGCCAGGAGCCCCTTGGATGGGTGGCCATCACTTTCGGCGGCTATCATTTTCGTTCCGATCGGGCAAAAGTGACGGGCAGAAGTTCCTCGGCCATCAGCATCGCCGTCCGATCGGTTCGGGCAAGTGAAAAAGTGGCGGCCGATAAAAAATGTTTTCCCGCTTGATGTCGCGGTGGAGGACCTGATAATTTGCATGATTTTCTGTAAAATGCGTGCAAAGTGAAAGTACTTGAGGTTCTTTGTCATGCGAAAATGAGGTTGTGAATAAATCAACTGCCATGCATAGAGTTACAATGTATATTACCTTGTGCCGGTGCATCCACAGCAGCCCAGACACGCAATCCCGCATAATCGAGCAGAACTGTTTTTCGTTCCGAATAATGCCCATCATGTCAATCGACCCCGGTGTGTAAAGCGGCATCACGATGTAAAAGCACTTTAGATTCTTCTTCAGTGCCTCCTGCGTCTTCGAGTTGATCGGCTTCAATTGCTGTTCTACTTTATCCGCCGCTGTGACCGCGGGGGATTTCATTTTACTCTTCTTGTTGTTCCCCTCTTCTGTTATTTTCGCCTGCTTGCTGGGTTTTGAAATAACGGGCTGATCCTCCTCCTCCTCTCTTGCAATCTCGATGTTTATCATTTGTAAAAACGTCCCCACTCCAGAGTCAAGATGGGGATTTTGCAACACAAACCTTAAAGTTTTGGGAGCCACGCATGACAAGTTGCAGGCTGTGATATAATGCAGTTTAGCAAGAGAAGCCGCATAAGAAATCCAGCTCCTTATCCTGTTCACAGCATTACAAGTTCCAAAACACGATGGGAAATGCCTCTCGTGGGGATGCGCATTACAAATGCTCAGCTCTTGTGCTTGCAGATCTGCATGACAACTCTGGGCTGGGGATGTTTTTGCACAGGATAATGTTCTGCGCCTCTTTGTTCATGTAGATGGACACAATGGGCGTGATGTTTGGGTGCGGAAGGTGCTTCATGAAGTGGATCTCGCGGAGCAGGCGGATGTTGTCCTCCCAGTCGTTATCGAACGCTTTTTCATGCGGGAGGGAGACCTGATAGAGTTCATTAGACGAATTTGTGAAGCAAATATCCTCGTATGTGAGGACTTCCCAGCAGTCCAACTTCCACAAAAGTCGCTTTATGCATGCTCAAACCCGCCAGTTCTGCCTCAGTTCTCATCTGCAGCACAAACAAAACACTATACCTTCTTCACCGCGATCTGGTCGCAGCCATGGTACCGCTTCGGGTTTAACACTCGGCACTTACACACCACCCCGTATCCTCCTTCCGATAAATACTGTGCCCGGTCCGTTTCCGGTGGCACCTCGAAGTATCAAATGTAAAAGTGTCTGGCTCTGGAAGATTCTGACACTTGTCATGCACGTTTTGCATGAGCCATGATGTCTGTGATGCATACCATAGCAATACAGATTTTTTGAGGACTTCTTGATGCCTATTCCGAATGACAAATGCCTTCTCAGCGTAGCAAAAATTGCATTCCCTTTGGTACTCATGCAATACAGATTTTTCTGGAATCCCAATGCAGCATCACAAGTTCGGATTCTTCCAGACCCAGACATTTTTACATTTGATACGAAGGTAGCGCCGTTGAGGATGGCTTCGTGGCAGGCGAGGGAGGAGCTGACGGGGTTCAATTTTTCGTCCACCACACCCGCGGCAATGGCGTTTTATGGTGAGCAAAGACGTCCTCCCCCCAGAGTCAAGATCGGAAACCTGCTAGACAAATCGCCAGGCTTTGGCTGTTGCGCATGACAAAATTGGGCTCGCAGTGTAGTCGTGCTTAGCTAGTGCAGCAGCATCACAGATCTAGCATACTACGCGAATTTGAGCATCACAAATCTCAAAACACCAATAGCAACTGCTTCTCCTGGGTTTCTGCATGAGAAACATTTTGAGCATGCAGGTTTGCATTACAACTCTGGGGCGGGGACGTTTTTACAAATGATACGTTGCCGAGGATCTTTTTCAACGCGTCCTTGTCCAGATGATCGAGCAACGAGGACATCATCTTTGACGAGTTTAGAAGATTTTATATTTGTCGCTTTATCTTTTTCAAAAGGGTATTAATTTTCTAAAACTAAGTATAACGCTCTCGATTCTTATTGCTGGTGCTGTCCTGCTAGAAGAACAAGAAGTTGCTGTACGTATTGGTGATATAGACGGACGCTCTTGCCGCGTGGGTGCGTAAAAATGCGTGTAGAAATGATTCGTCGCGGCGGAATGGGATTGAGTACTATGTCTATGAGGACCTGTAGTTGCAGTGTTTCAAGAAAGCTGCTATCACTATCGCTATCAACGACAGGAGGGCTACAACAGTAAATACGACGGCGACGCGGCAGAAGTGGCCTGACGATGCAAGAACTAGCTGTCTTTTGGCTTCTTTACTCTTTGACAACTCTACTCCCTGCTCCTGATGGAAACTGTTTGTTCTCCTGTGTCGCTAATTTGTCATGCTAATATGCAGAAGTACTGACTGAGAAGGTGGAAGAAACCTATATCTATAAAGAACTACGCTACTAAAACCGGAACAAGCTTTACGACTTCAAATTGCTATCAATGACTATCGTTCGCCACCATTGACCTGACTGGGATTGGAAAATAGCATTTTCTAGCTACGAAAAATCTGCATAGTACGAGTATAATGTTGTAGACACAATTTGATAGTGGCGTGAACGTGAAGAGAACAGATGAGCCAACCATTTATGATAGCCGCGAGGTCAACATGAGAAATTGTGCTGCTACAAAGCTGCTGCACTACACCGACTTTCAGATGTTTTCTCTTTGATTTTTTCGCACAACATGATTAGTGATCGCCATTTTGCGGCAGGGTCGATTTGCTGATCCAGTGATTTATCTGACTTTGATGCTTTCAGCTCACAAGCTTTTGCACAAAGAAAATCTTCCGACTGTAACTGTGATTGGCACTACAGGACAAGAATGGCACTTTTTCTCGCACAAGAATTTTTCCTTCTCCATCTTGTAGTTGACGACGTCGTACGACTTTGTCGTGCCAGTGAATCCACACGACTTCGTGCCAATTCGCTCGAAAGCAGTCCCACAACGTCCGATGTCTATTTTGATTTCCACACAAGAATCAATATTGCCCGAGTTTGTCGTCCACAAAGAAGACTTGGATAAAAGAACAAGAACGCGGCAAAGTACGCAACACACGACAACAAGCGTGCACACAACACTTGCGCAGCAATAGCATTTCAATCACGCGCACGCCATTACTCCTGCACAACACGATGTTGCACTAACTGTGAGAAGACAAATCGAAGAACTAAAGAGCTTTCTTCATTGTCATCTAAAAAAACAAAATTGAGCAGACATTTTTGAAGACGCATTTTTGTCTCATTGAAAAGAACTTTGCAGAGAGGAGCAGAGCACTAGCGCACGTCAGCTCTTTTTCCCCCCACCAGCGGTTCCCTCTCCCTCTTTTTCTGCGAGGGCCGCTAGGGAGGTCGAGTGGTTTTGATTTTTCATCCATTTTTCCCGTGCGGCATTACCGTTTGCTTGCAGGAAGTGAAATTCTTTTGAGAAAAAAGTACAGTATGGTCCGCGTGTCGGCGAGGGGGCGTATGTACCTCTAGACCACTCCTGCATATCTGTAGTTTTCGACGTTGTGTTCATACTTACTGCACCTAGGGTAGTTGTGCTTGTTCGGGTTGCGCTGTTTTCTCAAAAAATTTGAAGCCCCAAGAACTTCTTCACTGCAATTCATTAGTGCGATGGATTTAACAGTACTAAACCACTCTGAGGAAAGACAAAGAGATGTTCATTGTCATAGTGCACAATACGATACGAAATGATCGTGCTATATTTTTTTGCATTTGGGCGGGTTTTGAGATGTATGCAGATGAGTACGTAGGTCAGCATCAAACCCAGCTTCTTCTAAATTTTTATCTGTGGCACTTCAATAGTACTACACCTGTGTTCTCTAGACCAATGACAGCTCGATTTTTTTGTGGCGCCAGTCGAAGTACTTACTAGGACAACTGCGTGCATCTACAGGTGTTTGTAGTAGCTCCTACTTCATGCTGATTCGGTAGTAGAACCAGCTACAAAACCCGACTCGGCTTCGAGTCGCCTGGACGAAAACGTGGACTCTGGCTTATATACATCGTAGTTTCAGGAGGTTTGTATTCGTTTACGTTTTTTGTTTTTTCTATAGCCTCCTCATATTTTTGCAAAATCTCCGGCATTATGCAAAACTTAACCACTAAATACTTTATTTTCTACCTGTTTTAAACTACCTGTAATTTGTTCTTGCGTCGAAGGTCCATGCGCTTTTTTTGTTCTTCGTGCTGTTGCAATTGAAGCCTCTAACTACTTATGTTGGGTTTTCATTGCAAAAGCAAAACCCGGGTCACAATCTGGTTGTTCTGCTATAAAGGTCCTATAGAACTCTGAGAAAAGATGTGCATCGGCAAAAACCATTTTCTGCTGGTGCGGCATAGATAAAAAATGGGCAGTGAAAAGGGACTTAAAAAACCACTCGAGGTGCTTGTCGACTGTAAGAGGCCGCTATATTTCTGTGCTTGTTATGGCGGTAAAACATCTAACAGACAGGCTTCGAAACGAAAACTTCGAAGATTAGATGCACTCTGTCTAGTAGAACGCGCTACAGTAGTTGTTGCAAATTGGCTCTGTATTTTTAGCAAAACGACCTCCTACAGTGCGACAATATAGGTTCGGAGAAAGAGGGATAGTTCTAGTGGTCGAAAGTATAAGTAACAGGCCCTTCCCGCATGACAAAAGCAATCACTGGAAAAATGCGACTACTCCTGCACGACAGGAAGACTGAGGATAAAAAGAACTTCTTGCAGAGGACTTCTGAAGGAAGGAACTAAACTTCTCATGTGTAGTTTTTAGTATCTGCTGCTGTTGCTGTTCTATTTTGCCGGCTGCCAGCAATTTTCGGGAAAAAAAAATTTATCCTCCCGTATAGAGACAAGCAAACATGTGCTAAATTCCCAAATAAAAGACGAGTCATAGAGGAATTCTCTCCCCGCGGCTGGGGATGAAAACCCTGCTTTTGATGCAAAAGTAAAAGTTAAAAGTAAAGAAGTCGTGTCGCAGGATTGAGTATCGTATCGTCCCAAATTTTTCCGTTTGTCGCTTTTTTCTTCGGCAGAAGATAACCTTTCTCCATGCTGTTATGCGCAGGAGACGAGCGGAGAAGATGTCACCTCCGGATCAACATTATTCATTGTCGTCTTAATTCATGTTGTCCATTGCGTTCTTAATCTCCGGTCTCGCAAACATCTTCAACAGAGAATCTAGCAACTGCGACAGATTGCTGCAATCGCACCACACCGGCTGCCCATCGTCGCCCGTTTCCTGGTGCTCTGCACCGGTTTCTAGTGTTGGTGAAGAATTCGAATGGTCGCACTCGTGAAAGTAGTACAGGAAAACCATGAGCCCCGCGCCCGCTGCCACGAAGGTCTGTTTTAATAGTACGATTTTTTTTTTGATGACGATTCAGAACCAGACACTAGATCGCGTCGCAACAAATGCATGACAACTTGTTCCACTTCAATAAACGACGAGTATGTTGCAACACTGTCATTTTGCTGCACTAGTAGCACTACTGCAGCAGCAAGCGAAGTTGAAAAATAAGTAATTGCAACCACCTATACCACGACCACCTTTTATAGCAACATGTTGAGAAACAAACAATCTCCATTCTCATATACCAAAAACTTCGCCGCCGCCTTGCTCGCGCTTTTCGCGGTGTCGCACTCAAACACTTCCGGCACAATTTCCGTTACTCCTACGTAGATCAACGTCCCGCACGCCAGAGCGTTCAAATACGGCCCAATAATTTGCATCTGCTCCTCCGCCACGTTGTGTGCCGCCGTGTAAATAATCACCCCGATCGGACTGCTGCAGGCGCAGAGGAAATTCAACAAAAAGAATTTACACCCGTCGAAGTCCGCTTTCAACAGCGACAAAGACAACACAAACCCCTCCACCCACTTGTGCGCGGCTAACGCTACCACCGTCGCCATTCCGTTCGACCAGGGGTTCGTCCCCTTAAAGGTCGAAGCCGCTGCCCACCCCTCAAACACCCCGTGTAATGACAGCGCGAGCATGAGGAAAACCGCGGACATGGTGCTTGCGCCGAGCGGAACTCCGTGTTGGTGCCCGTGGTTGTCGTGGCCGTGGCAACCGAGGTCCTCGTCGGAATGGTGGTGGTGCTCGTGAACGTAGTGGGAGTAATTGGATTTTCGCCTTTGCTGGGACAAAATGCTGTTTCTGGGGCTACCCCTTCCGTGGATGTAGTGGTTGCCTGAGGGAGCGTTGCTGATTATCAAATGCAAAAATGTCTGGGTCTGGAAGATTGCGAGACTTGTCATGCTAGTTTGGCATGACTAAAAAGTTTGTGATGCGTGTCCAAGAAGAGACCCTCTTGCCTGTGATGCAAAAACGCAGTTTGTCATGCGAAAAACGCAACACAAAGAAGCGCAGATATTTCTCATGCTTGGCTGTGCATTACAGAACATTCGCTATTCCCAACGCAGCATTACAAGTTTCCAGACCCAGACATTTTTACATTTGCTACTGATTCTTCCATGATTTTCTTTTGATTTTATCGCCGAATCGTCAATCCCGACTTTGGACTTTTTACTTGCTGTCGACCGGTCGCTCATTCTACTAGACGGGTAAAGAAGATTATTGGGCGTGGCGAGTAAGTGTTGCGTCTGCTCATTGTGCAGCAAATGGTGGCCGCCCGGATGTCCGCTGGTCAGTTGGTTCTCGATATCCTCGGGGGCCTCTGGTTCGTCAAGGACTTTGATTTTGTCATCCTCTTCGTCACTGTGGTCGTGCTGGCAGCCATGGCTATGTGATCCGCAGTCGTGCCCGTGGCTGTCATGTGCACCAGATACTGCACCATGCTGATGTCCGTGTCCGTGACTAACGTGATTATTTCCCTGTCCGTGCACGTGTGAGTGCCCGCACGTATGATCCTCGAAGTCCTCTCCATCCTCCAAACTATTTCCGTGCGCGTGACAGCCGCTGGCGTGATGATTATCAAATGCAAAAATGTCTGGGTCTGGAAGAGTGGAACTTGTCATGCAGATTTTCCATGACCCATGAGGTCTGGAATGCGGGACTTAGCATGACAGGCTCTGCGAGGTCTCTGCCATCCCTATCCTGCATGAGAAACTCCCTCCCAACTTGGTCGAAAGAGGACAGCGACAGCTTTTGGCTCTCATGCAACACAGATTTTTGTATGCTTCAGACTTACCATGACAAATTACCACCTTCCAGACCCAGACATATTTGCAATGCATACTGATGTTCTTTCGCGGGCGAGGATTTCGGGGTAAACCACAATGCGAACACCCGTTCGAAAAAGAGAATCAAGCTGTACCCGCCGAATAAAGTTACGCCCATCAACTGCAACTTCCCCTCCAGTGCCTCCGTGTCGTCATGGGGAAGGGACATAAAGCCCGGTGGCGTGTTCGGGTCCCCGTGCGAATGGCCGTGGCCGTTACCGGCAGCAGCTCCGTGGCTGGTATTCCCAGTGTCCACCATCTGGGGGTTTATCTGCGGTCCGTACTCCCGAAAAAACCTCTCGTTGGGCTTGTGGTGTACGTGGCCGTCGTGTTCGAACTTTCTCAGATACAGACTTTTCCACTTCTCCGCAGAGGACTGCTGCACCGCGGTGAGCAAATCCATCACCACTTCCGGAATGATGTGGAAGCAGGCCATGGCGAGGAACATCCCAGCCGCACCGACGTTGAAAAGGTCGAGGACGAAGAGGGAGATTCTGCCGCGGAGGATTTTCGCCAGATAGGACCCGAATAGAACGATGGAAATGAATATCGAATGCAAATATGTCTGGATGTCTGGAAACTTGTAATGTTGAATGGTCATGATGGCCTGTGCCTGTAAGTGCAGTGCAGCATGACAAATGTTTCAAACGCTTTCTCATGCGCAGAACGCATTACAAACTGCGGTTTTGCATGACGAAACAAGTGTGACGCTTTATAATTTGCTGCTTATGCAATACAGATTTTTTAGTAATGCAAAACATGCAATACAGGTTCAACCTTCCAGACCCAGGCATATGTGCACTCGATAATGAAGATCGAGATGGTCGCCAAAGCGAACATCCACTGCTGCTGGTGGAAATCCATCTTGACGATAAGGAATTTGTTGTACTTGTGTTATATCAAATGTAAAAATGTCTGGGTCTGGAAACTTGTGATGCTGTGTGGCATATCATGAGGAGGCCACAGTTGCTGGCTCAGCATGACAAGTTTCTGAGCTTCTAGGTGTTGCCTATTCTGCATGACAAACTACGTTTCTGCATGACAGAAAAGTGGGGCTCTTTGGTGATGTGCATGACAGATTTAAGAGTCATGCCAGACAAGCATGACAAACTTGCATTTTTCCAGACCCAGACATTTTTACATTTGATATGTTATGCTGGTTCACAATTTGGATCTTCTTCCCTCAACTTAAATTTTCTTATAAATACCTCGCCAAGAAGAACTTAACTTCTTTCTCGAAATTCAATTCAGGGTGCACCACGAGTAATAGATGTTGTTGCAAGTTGTTGTACTAGAGCAATTTTAGTGCCTGGTGCTCCAGAAATAATAAGTAAAACTTTTGAAACCACTAGAAAACGATCCTAAATGCCGATACACAACAACATCCTAGAGTCTTTATTCAATTCAACCACAAATAACTCATGTACCACCCCTGTTAGATTGATGTAAATGACGTTGATTGATTCGGTTTCGGAGATTTATTTGAGCTCGCAGAGAATAAACAAAAGTAGAGCAGTACATTGCTGCTTCTGGTATTTTTGTGTCCTAGATGCTACTTTCGTCTAAAGATCTCGCGATTATTATGGGAACTCGTGCAAAAAGATCCAAATCGCTGGATTTCATTTTTGATCTGGATCACGATTTCGGTTGCAGATGTTGCAAAAAATGCATTACAAGTTTCGGAAAAATTTCGTACGCTGCGGATCTTCCAAAAAGCATTTTATGATTTCAACATAGCAGGATCCTTACCTTCTGCTCTGGGATTTGAGTTGAAATTGATGCAACACATGCGTACAGAAATGCGAACAAAATCAACATTTTCAAGCGGTTCGTTTCCCTCACATGATTAGATTAGAGTCCTGCCTCAAGACAATATTCCGCTTCGTCTTTAAAAAAACCTGATTACTCGCCCGCATTTGGCTCTATTTCAGAAAAAAAACTCACAGGGAAGAAGTTCAACAACTTCAATAATATTCGCTTCACAACAGTCGCTGATGTTTCATTTTCGCTACACACATTCAATCATCACAGGTTTAGAAGATGTCGGGTTCCTTAAAAAATCGGCACATGACTTGACAGGCAGCACAGGAACTACGCCTGTAGCCCCTTACTGTTGTCACCTCTTCCTTACCGGCACCGAGGACCCACTTGCCGTCGCTGCTTTCGGCTTCCGCCCTGCGGTCTGCGAGGAAACGCCCGTTCCGGCAGCCTTCGCAGCTCTACCGGATTTGTTGTTGTTGTTCCCAGCATATCAAATGCAAAAATCTCTGGGTCTGGAAACTTGTGATGCTGGGTGGCGTCTCATGATGAGGCCACAAATGCTGGCTCGGCATGACAAGTTTCTGAGCTTCTAGGTATTGCCTATTCTGCATGACAAACTGCGTCTCTGCATCATAGAAAAATGGAGCTGTTGGGTAACGTGCATGACAGATTTAAGAGTCATGCCAGACAAGCATGACAAACGTGCATTCTTCCAGACCTAAACATTTTTACATTTGATACAGCACCTCCGGACGAGGACGACCCGTTATTCCCCCCGCCTTTCACCACCGGTTTTGCCAGTTCCTGCTTTTTATCAACTGCAAAAATGTCTGGGTCTGGAAGAATGCCAGACTTGTCATGCAGGTTTTCCATGACCCATGAGAGATGGTATGTAGGACATAGCATGACAGATTCTGTGAGAGTTCTATCATGCCTATTCTGCATGAGACACTGCCTCTCGATTAGGTCAAAAGTGGACAGCTTTTGGTAATCATGCAACACAGATTTTTTACATGATTCAGATTTAGCATGACAAGTTGCTTTGTTCCAGACCCAGAAATTTTTGCATTTGATACTTTTTGTCGTGCGTCGTTATTCTCGTCACCGACTTCGGTCCGAGCGACTCCTGTGCGACTACTTTTCGCACCCCGAAGGTCGCCTTCTCGTCCCGTCTCTCCTTCAGCATTTTTCGGTAGGTTTCATCCGTGTCTAGCGGCGTGAAAGAGTACACGCCGGTGACTTTTTTCGCGTTCAGGCTGTTGGAGGTCGTTCTTGATGCACCACCGGACTTCGCCTTGCTACTTGCAGACGAAGTAGACGAAAGGCCTTCCATTGTATACCTGATGTGATTTATTTTTAGCAGCTTCGATAAAAATCACTAGATTTTCACTTTTTATTGCGGAGCTGCGACTACTGAATAAAGATCTTCATAAACCTGTCATGCTAAAAAGGCTCGCAAATAAATAAGTCTGCTCACATCATCTTGAAAAAAAAACCCGAAAAACAATACGTCGCTTTGGCCGGTCGCAGGAAGTTTTGCTGCATGACGTTTGGCAAATTCATTTCCCCCTCATCCCTCGCCAATTTATCGTTCAGTAAATTTACCGATTTCCCGTCCTCCGAGATCTGCGCCACCGTAGACCCATCTTCTTGTTTCAGCCAGAGTTCGTGCAGCCAGTGCGGCACGTGAATTATCTGCACCTCCTCCAGTGGCTGATGTCTATTACTTGCTGCTGCTGCTCCTCCTGTGCTCATTGGGGCCTTGTTTGCCGTGCTGGCCTGCTGCCTGGTGCCGTTCATTTTTCCATACGTACTACCGCGAGGTAGAGATGACCAGGAAAATGGTCATGCGTTTTTTGTGTAAGATGTGTCGATGAAAACTACACCAAGCTCGAGCAATTTCCTAGCTTGAACTTTACTGCGTTGAGGAGCAGTTCAGTATTTCTTATCGTCATCCTCACAAGCTCTGCTCCAGTTCTACTGTCTCACTGTAGTAGTTTTCTCGTCTCACAGTGAAGTTTTCTCATCAATCTGAAACAGTTGTAATAGACCGTAGATTAAGTACGTGGAAGATCATGATGGTCCATCTGATTTATTTGGGGAATTTTTTCATTTAGGAACCCAGACTTGATCATGAGGTCGTTGCATTTCACATTCTTCAGGAGATCTTGTTCTGTGATTTTTCTTGCTCGTCCTCGTCGGACAGTGCGTTATAGTTTTCGTGTGGACCACCCTTTGAGTGGGTCCGAATAAATCGCTCCTCAGAACAAGTCAACATGATTTTCCAGCTGAACGCTTTAGTAATATTCTCAACAAGCACCACAACTCTCCAGTCGTGCATTGTTTCTGCCGAACAAAACTCAAGCGCGGCTACTGTTGCTTCTCCCGAACTGTGATATGTTTTTTTTGCTTTTTTCACAAGTATCTGTAGAAAGAACTATTTTTGAATTTTTGTTTGCCCTAGTAAAAATTCGGTCTTCCGTTTTTGATGACACCCTGTAGAACAATCGCTTTAGGCCGACAGTAGTCTTCTATGTGGCCGGCTACAAAACTTCTACTTATCCGAAGTTAAAACAACCTGAAGGCGCGTTTCTTTGCCCTATCATTTCATTAGGAAAAGATATAAGCAAATCGAAACTAAATCTTAACTTTTGGAAATAGGACATCGACTAAAGTGCTGCTGCTCATTCAATTGCACAAGTTGCACGACAACCCAGCTAGGATAGTGCAACTACAATCTTCTGAAGCTGCAATGGGATCTAAAAAGCTGCGAATAGAGCCTACGATATAGATATTTTGGTAGAAATAGTAGGATGGTGGGCACCAGGATCGTTCCGCAACTTCGACGAGCTGCCTGAGCGTCGTACAAACATATAATGGTCGTAGATTTCGTCCTTACTGCAACGACGCTCCACGACTTTTGCTGTAGCGCTGTAGCAAGTAGCCCCATGCTTGTCCTGCACCGTGCCTAGGGATAAGTATTTTGAAATCGTTTTTCTGCCGTTCTAAATATAAACCACTGCGTTCGCTCCGCGATAGTAAATCGAGTCTTCGTTTTTGTTCTGAGCATTGTGTAGTTTCGCAGAAGTAGTAAGTAACCGCCTGAGCCACCAACTACTGTCGAACCGTTCTTGATGGGAACCCTATCCCTAAACCCTTTATAAGTGTGGAGAAAAAGGCACGACTTGTTTTGGCCGCAGTGTTGATCACGCATCTCTTCTTGCAGGCAAGTGGAGGTGGCACCGGTCGTTGTACTAGATAGTGCTGTATATTATCTGGTATATTTTTATGCACCGCCGTCGCCCAAGCTACAACTCAGTTGGATCATTGCAACCCCATGTCTACTTACGTACGTGATTAGTTAGAGACGATGTGGAATGAGACTAGCTTCTCTTTGAGGATAAAACTCTATCAGATTGACTAGTATTTTTTAGCCTGTGATTACAAACGAACCTTACAAATAGTAGCTTAGGTTCGAGTTAATAGTGCAGCAAATCTGGTCACAAACGCTTCAGGCTACAAAGACAGCAAAAGCTCGTTTAAGAAGACTTTGACCGTAGTGAAACAGCTAGCCTTTTCTTCAACATCTTCAAAAACTCTTGCCTTACGTCCTCTCGCCTTTCGCGGGCGCGAAGAGACCTACTAGGGGATGGATTCATAAAGTGGGTTTTCAACATAACCGCCACTTTTGATCGCCTTTTTTCTTTGGTAAAGTATGTTTTTTGCAAAGAGCTTCCGTAGGAGATATCGAAGAAATTAAAAATTATGCACTGTCGTAGATCATATTTAGGTTGGTCGAGCTTGTAAAAGTAATAATTCGTGGCACCATCCTATCAGGTCACAAACGCGGTCGCTTGCTGGTACTGATAGAGAAAGTGTCTACACGAATGGAATGACGGACAGAAGTTAAGCTAGTTTTCAGATGCCATAGTACCTTGATGAAAAATAACGTTCTTTATCCCTGATCGATTAACAGGGACAAGTTTACAAACGCTTTTTCAACAGTAGTACACGTACAAAGAAACAAGAGCCCACAACTAAATCTTTAGTACAATAGAGACAAAACTTTTATGAATATAGAGTGGGGGTAGAAGGAGTCAAGCTAAAGAACGTGCTCGATGTGCTCGATTTGGTTTTGTTACCGCACAACGATGCAACGATGCAAGTCACACCTTTTGGAAATGATACCTCCTGGTGGTGACGATTTTTGCGTGCTTCAATACTATTATGGGGATCTTCATCTTCATCAAAAGCTTTGTACTTCGATAAATTTATTTTCTCCATCCGACAGCTAGAAAATCTATTTCCAAACTGTCGCCCGATAGAACAAGAGTAGAACTCATTGTCCTACGCCCCGGCTGCCGCCACAGAAACCGCAGTAGCAGAGGACGAGGAACTGGAAGCGGCAGTACTAGCCGCAGCCCGAGCTGCCACCTCCGAATTAGCTGCCTCAGATTCCTCCGGAATGGTTTCCATCTTGTCCAGCTTCTTGGAGGAGGATTTTTTCACTTTTTTGCCCGAAGCGGAGGAAGACATCGCAGGAAAAAACTGTTTCACTGTGATGATTTTGCAAGATCTGCATCACAAGTTTGTTACACATGGCGCAGACAATTTGTCATGCGCACTTCCCAAGGGAAAACACCCTTCAAAATCCAATGTCTTGCATGTGTAGCAAGACAAATAGTATTTGTGTGTTCCATTCCATGCATCACAAGTTCACAGTGAAACAGTTTTTTCGTGGGATAGAAGAGGAACTAGAACTGCTGGAACTTTTACTGCTTTTCGACGAGGAACTTTTTGTCATCTTCACGGCTGTCGGAACAACTGCAGGGGTCGTCTGTGACAATACAACGCTGGAAGTAGAGGATGAACTTCCTACGGACGTCGAGGAGCCTGAGCCACAAGAACTGGACGGAACAATTGCAGTTATCTTGCCCTCACTGGCCAGCGCCTGTTCCCTTGCCAATAAAATCGCCGACTTTTTCTTCTTCTTCTCAACCGGTGGATGGAAATCCTCCTTCGGCAAGAGCGTTTCGGGCTCTTCCGGCGGCAACAGGGTTTCCTTGGCAGAAGCTGGCGCCGTGGTTTTCTTTTCCGCAGAAGAGGAAGATTTCTTCTTTTCCTTCTTCTCCGACTTGACCTTCTTTTCCGACGGCACAGCGGAATCTTTGTTTTCTTTTTCAACATGAGCATGAGCATCATCTTCGGTTTTTGTACTAATGTTGGCGCTGGCAGTACTAGTGTGCTTGGTGGTACTGGTTTTTGATGCAGTAGCAGCTTTCGCCTTCATCAGCTCAGATAAAGTTTTCGCTTTCTCGGTGGTTAATATCGTTTTCTTGTCGGAGGTCAGAATAGTTTTCTCGTGCTCCGCTTCCTCCCCAGTAGTTGTGCAAGACGATGATGAAGAAGACGAAGACGAAGATAAAGAGCTGCCACCTTGTAGTTCTCCTGCCGTAGGAGCGCCACCACCTCCTCCAGCGACTTGGACTTCCTCCTCCCCTACTTCCTCAAACGTCACTTTTTTCGCCGCCGCGGCCCGCTTGGGTGCCTTCTTCGGCTTCGAGTTGAACTGAAACAGCGAGGACCCGGAGAACATTTGAAACGACCCGCTGTCCTTTTGCGGCGTTGTGCTGTTTGTTTTGCCCTCCTTGCCCTCCTCGGAGTCCCCGACCGCCTTGATCAGCGGGTTGGCGGCCGTGTATTCCACTTTCACCGGGCCATACATCAGCTCGTACTCCTCCCGCTCCAAACGCTCGAGGATGGAAATGTAGTCCGTGTTTTTCTCGAACTTGCGCGGCTCGAGCCGCATGTTCTGCTCCACGTAGTCCTTGTCCACGATGAAACCGTCGAACTGGTTGTAGACCTTGTGCAAAGTCGTCTCGATCGCTTGCATTGCGTACTCGTACGCTTCCTGGTTGCTCGTCTCGACGTGCTGTTTTGTTTCATTTTTTGAAGTTGGATAATTTATTCAGTAGATAAAATTTCGTGCATCAACAGTTCTTGGCATCAAGGATTATAGGCTACAAAGATATTTGCTTTGTGGAGGGGCGGGGGACTACACTGGCCCAAGGAGGGCGGCAACTTAAATCGAAAAGTGCTGGTGCCACAGCCTCCAGGTGGAAAAATGAAGATTGGCACTGAGTGATCCTGTCTAGCCACCATATAATGAATTCTACGACTTTATCAAAACAAGTTCGAAGCGAGTTATCGAAAAACTTATAAACCAAAAAATCAAAAACTCTGTAAGTACAATGATCAGCGCTTCATCCTTTTCCCCCTTGATCAGCAGGTGGACTTCCGGGTTGTAGCGGCAGATGTTCCGCATGTTCTCCCCGTCGTTCCCGCCCAACCGCATGACGCAGCTGAATTCCTCCTGTTCGTCCTGAATCTGCACATCGTAGACGCAGGCGTAGCGGAAGTGCTTCCGCCGACGGAGCCGGATCGCGTCCAGCCCCCGCACCCCGTACATCTTCCGCAGCTCCTCTTCTGCGTGCCGGCGGACGATGATGTGCGGCCCGAGGAGCAGCTCGTCCCGGGTGCCATCATCGCGGTTATATTCCTCCATTTCCCGGGTCTTCTTATGCATTGCAAACATATCGGCGTCTGGAGACTTGTAATGCTGGGCGGCGTATCATGAGGAGGCCACAAGTGATGGCTCAGCATGACAAGTTTCTGAGCTTTTAGGTGTTCTTGCCTATTCTGCATGACACACTGCGTTTCTGCATGACAGAAAAATTGGGGTCTTGGGTTGCAACGTGCTGCATGACAGATTTTATAGTCATGCCAGACAAGCATGGCAAACTTGCATTCTTCCAGACCCAGACATATTTGCACTTGATACTTCTCCTGGACTCGCAGCAGCGCCTCCCCGGTTAACGGGTTCTGCATCTTCCGCTGTTTCGCCTCTTCCGCCTTCTTCATGGCTTTTTTGCGTTTCGAGCTGGAGTATCAAGTGCAAATATGTCTGGGTCCGGAAAGAAGTAATGCAGATATGCTATGAGCCGTGACGTCTGGAATGCAGAAACTAGCATGACAAATTCTGTGAGATCTCTATCATGCCTGTCCTGCATGAGAAACTCCCTCGCAATTCGGTCAAAAGTGGACCACATTTGGTAATCATGCAACACAGATTTTTGCAGAATGCAGACCTAGCATGACAAGGCACACTCTTCCAGATCAAGACCCAGACATATTTGCAATGCATATGGAGCACGTGTTCCAGATCAGCGCTTGCATCGACTCCTGCAAAGCCTCCATCGCCGGGTAGCGAATCGGATTGCCGTACTCGTCCAGCGGGGCGTCGTTTTTCCACCAATATCCTATGTAAAAACGTCCCCACCCCAGAGTCAAAATGGGGAGTCTGCGTACACAAATCCACAACTTGAACTTTTGGCTGTTTTGCATGACAAATTTGAACTGGTAGTGTAGTACTGTTTGAGGCAGTTCAGCAGCATGACAGATCTAGTATATAATGCTGATTGGAGCATGACAAATTGCAAAACGCGACTCGATAGTATGTCTCATGAGGCTCCGCATGAGAAACATTTTCAGCATGCAGAGTCGCATTACAGCTATAATGGGGTGGGGACGTTTTCAAATACGATAACCAGCATTCCTTCTTCAAATTCCACCATTTCCCTTCCTATCCTGTGCAGAAGTATCGTACTCGTATTGCGATAACGCATTACATTTTCCTAAGGTAGATCCGCATTACAAATTTTATTTCTCATGCTGAGGAAATTTGTAATGCATTTATACGAGTACGATACTTTTGCAATGCATACTTCCCTGGTCTTGATCCAGGTCTTTTTCCGCTGCTCCTCTTCTATTTGCTCCGGAGTCAGCGTCTGCGCATCCTGGTCCTGGTTGATATTATTCGCCGTCCCGTTATACGCGTAGTAGTTGTTGTAAGTCGGGTCCGTGGAGGTCCCATTCATATTCGTTCCTTTTCCGCCCTTCCCATACTGGCTCGTCATCATCTTGCCCTGCTTGCCGGCCGCCTTTGTCCCGAATTTATTGCCGACTACATGTGGAGGAACGACTTGCCCGTTTTCGTCGTACTGGACGTATTGCTGCGATTGTGGGTCCCAGTGCCAATTATTGTTCCACCAGCCTTTCTGGTTTGCTGCAGAAGCCGCTGCACCTTGGTTGCCCTTGGTGTTCCATTTCTGGAGGTGGTTTTGATGCCAGCTATTGCCGTAGGATCCAGCAGCACCAGCTCCCCATTGATTGTTCCACGAATTATCGACCCAGTTCCCGTGTTCGTCATACCAGCCTTCGTCTTGCTGCCCGGGCCCGCCCCAAGAACCAGGCATAGTGTCCATCCCTTTCCCGCCTTTCCCATAGTAAGACCCAGCGGCTCCACTGTCGTAAAATTGCTGATGTTGACCTTGTCCGCCCTTCGCGCCTTTCGCTGCCAGGTTCTGCTGCATCATTTGCTGCATGTGATGTTGTCCTTTCTTCATTCCTTTTTTGCCGTTGTTCCAGTACGCCGCGTTCGGATCTACTTGGGCGGATGCAGCAAATCCGTGGTGGTACAGGTTGGCCGGATCTGCACCATTGTACATCATATTTGGCGGACCACCACCGGAAGTGTTGACCCACACACCAGTCATCGGGTCGAAGTAACCGCCTGCAGTAGCTGCACCGGGAGGTGGTACTGCGCCCATAGCAGCAGCTGCTGCTGCACTGGGGTCGACTGGATTGAATCCGGGTGTAAATGCCACTGCGTTCGGGTCAAATGTCATAGGGTTCACGTTGAAGGCAGCCATAGAACAAGTGGTCGCCGGAGCAGCGGTTGTCGCGTCGCCCCCCGGATGTAGTGGTTGTGTCGTGAGAGCAGTATCTAGCGCGCCGACGGTGGAAAGAAGGTCGGGGCCACAGGTTGTAGGATCGGCCCCAATTCCGTTGGCCCCTCCCGCGGTGGTAGTTGCAACAACCTCCGACGTCCCAGAGCATGAGGAACTGCTGCTTGCCTCTCGAAGTAGATGTTGTTGTCCACTACTGGCTGCCATCGCACCAGTATTTCCCTGTTGCAGCCTCAAGGCCCCGGGCAAAGCGGGCGGCGGCGGGCCGATCTTTGCCGCTTCGGCTTCCAGCAGCGCCTGCTTCAGCTGCTCCTCGGCATGCTTTAAGGCCGGGTCCTTGTCCCCAACGGGCTTGATCAGTTGCTTCAGCTGGTCCGTCTTGGATAAAGAAGACGAATTATTTTGCAGCAATAAAGGGTGAGGAGCTACATCGTCGTGAGTGGAAGTAAACCCATGTTGACAATTCGAAGTAGTATTTACATTTTCATCTTCTCCCGACGTAAGTAGAGTTCCAGCCTCCCCATCGCCACCACAATCTCCACCGGGCGGCACCCACTGGCCGTTTTTCCCCAAAGTAAACCCCATCGCGAGAAAGTCGTAGTCTCCGTAGCCGGCCGGATAGTTCTCGACGTTGCAGCTCTGGTTAATGGCATTAACATCTTCTACCCCGTGTGTTCTTGAAGATGCAGATGTCGGATGATCATGCAGCTGCTCATGATTCACCGCTTCAGTAATCGCTCCATCGCCAAGAGCCTCTCCCCCGTGCAGAACATGGTCGGGAAGCTTGTACCCCGCTCTGTAAAACGTGTTCGGAACGCCGGAGACGTCCGGGTTTATTTGGTCCGGAGACATGGTTCCCGCACTCTGGCTGAGGGTAGTAGTTGTTCCGGGATTTTGCAGTTGGTCCCACGAGCTGCTGGCGGTCGTTTCCGCGGTTTTGTTCAGATCTTCGGTCATGTTGGTTCCGGGCGAAAGTTGCTGCTTCAGTTTGGTGCTACCGTGCAGCTGCGGGTCCTCATCTGTCGTCGTTGTTCCCATCATCTTGCGGTGATGCAAGTAAAACTGCTCCGGGGTGGCAAGAGAGGATGAAGAGGAAGGATCTATTCTCTCACCAGGTATCATTCCAAGCTGCGGCACCTCGCCTTTCGTAGGAGTTTTGTTGGACCCGGATCCCTTCTGCTCATGTTGATCTCCAGCGGTAAGTTGTTGGCCGGGATGAAGCCCAGGCGGAGCACGCGCAGGAGGACCTGTTGGTGGTCCTGCAGCTGCAAGAGAACAAGCAGGAGGTGGATTAAGAACAGTCGACGCGACCCCAGTTCCGTCTACACCCGGCAGGAGCTGTGCCGGTTCTCTACTTTTCGATCCTGAAACTACAGAACTGTTCTTCACGTTCCCCGGAGCGGCCGGCGGCAGCATGTCCGGCAGCGCGGGGGGCAGCGTTGGCGGGAGCGAGAACGCCTGATCCGCCAGGGCCTCAACAGACGTCACGCTCTCCGGAGGCGTCGTGATCCCCAGTGTTTTTATTTTGTTCATTTTCTTGTCGACAATCATCTCGTCGTCCGCCGAAGCTGCAGCTAGTGCCACGGCGCCGGGTGGCATGGTTTGTGATTCTTGTGCCGCGGCGGTCGGTGCATCTGGGTAGGAAGAACCGGGAAAATTATTTTCGAAAGGTAGTTCCGGCGCTCCTGGTGCACCTCCAACTATCCCTGGTGGTCCCTGTCCTCCCCCACCGCCGGCGCTAGCCCATAGTACGTTTTGATGTCCTTTGTAGTTCTGCGGCTGCTGCTGCCAGCACTTGTGGTTCTGCGGCTGGTTGTACAACTGCTGATAGTTGTTCTTTGTCTGTTTATATCAAGTGCAAATATGTCTGGGTCTGGAAACTTGTAATGCTAAAAGTGAATGATAGACGCACTGCAACACGCAGCTACGCATGACATATTGTTTGGCTGCCATGTCTTACGTATTCCGCATGGCAAACTGCGTTTTTGCATGACAGGCAAGATGGCCTTTTCGTGCCTATGCAACACAGATTCTCGAATCATGCCGGACAAGCATGACAAACTTGCATTCTTCCAGACCCAGATGACATTTTTGCATTTGATAGTTTATTACTCTGTTGCGGCCCACCAGGTAGTTGTGCTTGTGCACCGCCTCCAGCGCCTTTTTGGAGGTTTTTGTTGTAATTCTTTCCGCCGCCCGCAGAGGGTTGGCCAGGATGAACAACAGCTCCTCCATACGACCCACCGCCCGGTCCTCCCGCCCAGCCGTGCCCATCGTAGTACGCATTGACGCCATAGGGGTCGCTGAAGCCCGCGTGGTACGCGGCTGCGTACGGATCGCCGTAAGCGTTGGGGTTGCTGCTCCAGGTTGCGGCAACCTGCTGTGCCTGCTGCCAGGCAGGGTCGGCGTTCCAGGACGGGTCCCAGGTCCCGGGTGGATGTTGCGCGGCCATGAAAGGCGATGTAAATGTGATGTGTGTATCTGTTGAAGAAAATTTTTAAATGATGAGTTTTATTATAGTATTTTGATAGAACCACGGTATTTTTGATGACACTTCTGCGCATCAACTGAAGTGATTTCAAGTGATGAAAAAGCGCTATTGTAGGTCCACTTACTTACGACAAACATAAACTGCACAAGAAGAGTGCAAGAGGCGATAATCATATAAAAAATACCGTTTAAATATGTCTCGTTGCCACGACCTCGTCGATCCTAGATCTAGTGCGAGGAGAGGAAGCGCGCGTCGGCTTTACGCGTAGTACCCGTGGTTGCGTAAAAGCCCGCGTTTTTTCACGGAAAAAAGCCGGCTCACGAGTGACCGTCGTCTCCGGCAGATTCGGGTTCGAAGTCAGAAGAGTGTGTCACTCGCCTGTCGATATCAAATGCAAAAATGTCTGGGTCTGCAAGAGTCATGCTGCTTTTGCATGACACAAAAGGTCTGGCATGGAAGCTCTAGCATCACAGGTTTCGAGAAGCTTCCGCAATGCCGAATCTGCATCACAAATGCCCGACTTTGGTGACAGAAAGTGGGCAGCTTGTGCTGCCTATGCATGAGAGATTTTTATGTGTTGTGAAATGCGCATCACAAGTTTGTATTCTTCCAGACCCAGACATATTTGCAATTCATAGTCGAACCGGTTCGGCGATTCTGCAAAACTGGATTAATCCGCAACAGAAACCGCCATTTCTAGAAATCATATGTGCAGAGGTACGGAACTGCTACATCTTTTTGTTTTTTTTTTTTGGAAGCTCGCTAAAGCCGATGAATTGCATATAAGCATATGATTCGGTGGATTTCCGAAAGTGCAAGGAAGCGGTTAAAAAGTTGTCGCTTCGAAAAATGTTGAAGACCGTAGTGCAAAACTACGTGCGCAAGTAACTATCTCGCGCTCCGCTACCGGTAAGTTCGCTACCTACCGCCCCCGTGCAAGAACGAGAGCCGTCCGCAAGGACGGGAATCTAACGGCTGCTACCCGCTTCGAGGGCGTTCTCCTGTCGACGAAGCGCTGCAAACCTCGCACCACCTTCTGCCGTTGCCGATCAAAAGTAAACGCGAAGCTCACGGCGCTTCGTCGACAGGAGAACGCACTCGAAGCGGGTAGTAGTTCAACAAGAAGAAGCTCAAGAAACTTTTCTACTCACACAGAAACGACTTCTTGTGATGTATGCAGGAGAGCTTCTCGAACTTCTTCTCGTTGAACTACTTCTCGACTTTCGAAAAGAGCCGACAGAAGCTACGAAGAGTTGCCTCCACGTATCTTCCGTTCTTGCCGCGAAACCGTAAGGTTCTCTGTTAGTATTGATTTTTAGGTCGTTCAAGGAGGTAGAGTAAGAATTAGAAAGTACAGGTGAGCGCGCGTTCAAAAGTAATTTCAACATCAACATCTTTACTAGAACATCATTCTGATTCTCTGTACAATTCTAGATCACAGAACCTCGCGACGTAGAAAATTATTGGCTCGCGAAACTGTACAAGCTCAGCATTTCTTTCCGTACTAGTAGTGCCATAATATTTTTTCTAGAAGATCTAGATCTCGGAGTCGGACCTCAAGTACAACGTGGAAGCGCTTATTTCGCCGGAGCTGTACTTCTGTTGACACTTGTTCTACGAAGATTTCACTCTGCGAGCGGAACAACAGCAATCTTCCCCAGAAGTGTAAGTAGAGGAAAAATTTCGTTTGCGGTTTCATTGCTAGGAACAGACTGGGGGACTTACTGCAGCAAGAACTAGGCATGGTACGGAATAACAGCAGCTCCATCGTGTTTCGTGTTTTTGCTCTAAAAGGAATTGGAAAAGTAACGAATAAAGATCCTAAAGGAAGCTCATTTAGAGAATTGCACTACATAAAGCGGTAGACACTTGACACACATACAAAGGAGGTTGCTGGTCTCCGGTCCTCGGTCCTCACTCCATCACGAGGTAATATATGAGGAGATAAGAAGGTAGAAGCACCAGACACATAAGAAGGAGGTTGTTGGTCTCCGGTCCTCGGTCCTCACTCCATCGCGAGGTAATATATGAGGAGATAAGAAGGTAGAAGCACCAGACACATAAGAAGGAGGCTGCTGGTCTCCGGTCCTCGGTCCTCACTCCATCACGAGGCAATATATGAGGAGAGTAGAAGGTAGAAGCACCAGACACATAAGAAGGAGGTTGTTGGTCTCCGGTCCTCGGTCCTCACTCCGTCGCGAGGTAATAGATGCCGTAATAAGATAGAAGGCACAAGCACCAGGCGCATGCGCGGGGCGGAGCCTGCCGACCCGGGTGCGTTTCGCAGTGTTGCCAATGCTTTTCTTTGCCTTGGCGGCGCCTGCGTGTAATTCGCAGGCGGTGGGGCCGGGACGACTTTTGGCGCCCGCCCCCTTGGTGCGTTTCGCAGCGCGGCCCGTGAGTCGTTGCGGGCAAATCTGCGTGTAATTCGCAAGGGGGCAGGGGGCCGCCGCAGGCCGGGTGCGTGCGTTTCGCAGTGCTGCCGATGCTTTTGCCTTGGCGGCGCCTGCGTGTAATTCGCAGGCGGCAGGGCCGGGACGACTTTGGGCGCCCGCCCCCTTTGTCCGTTTCGCAGTACGGGCCGCGATGCGTCGCGGGCTGTATCTGCGTCCAGTTCGCTTGTGTTGTAAGATCTTTTTATTTTTTGAAGAAGAAGAAGAAGATCCTCATCTTCAAAAAAAAAGATCGTCTTCTTCTTAGAAGAAAAAGATCTTTTTTTTTGAAGAAGAAGATCAAAAAAGATCGGCTTCTTCTAAGAAGGAGACGATCGGTTTTTTTGAAGAAGAAGAAGATTCTCTGCTTCTTCTTCTTCAAAAAGAGCTTCGTTTGGAAGGAGAAGATCTTCGTCGGGGGCGGTCCCCCCCGGATCGGTTTGCGGCCGCGCGCATGGCGCCTGCGTTTCGGCATGGCGGGCGCCCGCTCGTGGCGCCCCCCGCGCACCGCAACGCCCGCGCCCACTATCTGTTGGGCCCCCGGGCCGCGTTTTGTTTTGGGCCCGAGGGCCGTGCCGCGAAAGAATCTATCACGAAGCCCGGCAGCGCGCGCATTGTTGCTCCGCGCCTGCCCTGGCACTGCCGTTCCCGCGCTTGTGCGTTCCTCGCCTGCTCGGACGCTTTGGCTGCGGGCCTCGTGCCTCGCTTTTGTTTGTCGCCCCCCCCCCGATCTATTTGCTTCTGCTGTTCTGCTCGTCATAAGTGATTGCGTTTCTCGTGACCCTGCGGCGCGTGGGTTTGTTGTTGCCTAGTGTCTCGTGGCCGATATGCCAGCGCTGTGCTGTGTACATGTTTGCGCATTATGTCACTAAAAGCTTCTACGTATTCTATTGGCGCGCCTTCGTATCTATTGTCGGGAAGCGTTTCCCGTGTGTATCTATCCCGAGGGCGATTGTTTTTCGTGTGCGGCCCTGTTTCGGCGTGTGGCGCCCGCCGTTCGCCACCCCAATGCGCGCCCCGCCCGCGCCCTCCCCCGCCGTCGTGTTTCCCCCGCCCCTGGTCCCTAGGTCCCGCGGCCATCGGGGGCGCGGGGCGCGTCTTCTTCGTTCCGCCTCGCCCTTGGCTCGTCGCTGTGGTCCCTAGGGCCCGCGACAGCCGACAGGGGGGGAGGTAGGGCGGCCGGTTTCCGGCACCGCCTGCCCCGCCCGCGGGCGGGGTTTGCGCATCTCTCCTTAGGACATAACTGCGACGTGCGGAGCGTTCGCGCTTCCCGTTTTGGCGGGTTATGCCTGTGCCCGTCGTCTTCGCGCCTCCCTGGCCCCGGTGGTTCGATGTGGTCCCTAGGGCCCGCGGCCATCGGGGGCGCGCGTTGCGTCTTCTTCGTTCCGCCTCGCCCTTGGCTCGTCGCTGTGGTCCCTAGGGCCCGCGACAGCCGGCAGGGGGGGAGGCGGGGCGGCCGGTTTCCGGCACCGCCTGCCCCGCCCGCGGGCGGGGTTTGCGCATCTCCCCTTAGGACATAACTGCGACGTGCGGAGCGTTCGTGCTTCCCGCTTGGGCGGGTTATGCCTGTGCCCGTCGCTCGTCTTCGCGCCTCGGCCTTCCTTGAGCCCCGGCGCAGCGTTCGCGTTTTCTGCTTGGGTGGCCCCCCGGATCGGTTTGCGCCCGCGCGCCGGGCGCCTGCGTTTCGGCAGCTCGTGGCGCCCTCCCCCGCGCGGCGCGCCCGCGCCTGCAAAAAAGTAAGATCTTCTTCTTCTAAGAAAAAGCCGATCTGTTTTTTTGAATGAAGAAGACGCAGAAGATCTTTTGTTTGAAAAAGAAGCGTCGTCTTTTTCAAAAAAAAGATCTTCTTCGAGAAGTGATCCTCTTCAAAAAGATGAAGAGGGCGATCTTCTTCATTCTTCGTGAAGAAGATCTTTTTCTTCTTCAAGAAAAGAAGATCGCGTTCTTCTACGACGAAGATGATCTGTTTTTTCAAGACGACGAAGAAGATTTTTTTTTTTTTTGAAGAAGAAGAGTCTTCTTCTTCACAAAAAAGACCTTCTTCGAGAAGTGATCTTCTTCAAAAAGATGAAGAAGAGGATCTTCTTCGTTCTTCTTTTTTGAAGGAGAAACGCTTCGTCTTCGTGAAGAAGATCTTCTTCTTCGTGTTTGAACGAAGATAGAAGATCTTCTTCAAAAAGGTCCTCTCGCTGAAGAAGAGGAGCTTCTTCATTCTTCGTGAAAGAAAAAGCTCTTCTTCTTCGTGGAGAAGATCGTCTTTTTGGAGAAGATCTTCTTCCGCTCTTCCGCTCGTGAAAGTGTGGGGCGCGCTTGCTCTCCTGCTCTCCTGCGTCTTCTTCGTTCCGCCTCGCCCTTGGCTCGTCGCTGTGGTCCCTAGGGCCCGCGACAGTCGACGGGGGGGGGCGGGGCGGCCGGTTTCCGGCACCGCCTGCCCCGCCCGCGGGCGGGGTTTGCGCATCTCCCCTTAGGACATAACTGCGACGTGCGGAGTGTTCGTGCTTCCCGCTGGGGCGGGTTATGCCGGTGCCCGTCGTCTTCGTTCGCGCCTCGGCCTTCCTTGCCCCGGCGCAGCGTTCGCGTTTTCTGCTTGGGTGGCCCCCCGGATCGGTTTGCGCCCGCGCGCCGGGCGCCTGCGTTTCGGCAACTCGTGGCGCCCTCCCCCGCGCGGCGCGCCCGCGCCTGCTACCAGCGGGGCCCCCGGGCCGCGTTTTCTTTTGGGCCCGAGGCCCG